TTTTTGGATATGAACATAGTAATAACTCTAAGTTATTTTTATCATTTTTTTAAAAAATCGTCTGGCCTGACCTACTATACTCTTTGGCTTGAGCATAGTTCTAACTAAATATGTCCAATAAAATGTCAAGGTCTGAGAGGTTAATAGAAAAAGATATAGAAAAAAAAATTACGTTAACTTATTTCCATAGCTTATTTCATAAAAATTTGCATTTTCATAGCACAGATAACTGTATACTAGTCAGAGATTTCATAGGTATATAGCATAGACATCAATCCTTTATCTACGGTATATAGACCTAATAAGCATAGACTAATAAGCTGTAATCATAGACTAATATATAATACTAGAAAGATATACTAAGTCTATGGGAAAGATGGATGGATGTTAATACCCATAGTCTTAGAATATACTTTAATACCTGAGGTTATAACCGCGCTAGCCAGCGTGACCAGATATAGAAGATTTCTACTTTTTTGGTAGACTTTGAGGTACTGGCAACAGAATTTAGTATGTAAAAATTATTTGGTATATTTCAGTCGAATTCACGCTTTTCAGTTATTCTAGTACTTTTTTGGCATATCGGATAAATGCGGGGTATTCCCCCTTTCATCGAATGGATTGTAACTATTTAATTTACATTATTTTCGTAACCATTCATGCCGTGAGCATAAAGTGTGATAGACTAGTGGGAATTCCTTTATTGAGAATTTTTATAATCATGTTTAAAATGAAACTTAAATATACAAAAGGATATAACGATGAATGGGAGTAAGATCCCTCATTTAAATGTTGGTTATGTAAATCTAAGTTAAGCACTACGAGTGCTCATTGTAAAGCAACTGTGAAGTACTAAATAGAGTGGCGTCTTTGAAGGAACACATGGCTACATCAAAGCATATAAAAAATACGAGTATGAAAGGATATTCCGGCATTTCTCAGGTATGCAAGTTACTTACGTTACTTTTGCAAGTTACTTATGTGGAATGTAATTCTTAGTTAATTATTCTTGTTAAACCTTTTTTTTAATTCTTTCAACTTACGCAGTAGTGTGAAGCCGTATTATGTTCTAAAGTTTATGAATTTGATTTCCACTCGAAAGCAAACATTCGCTGTTTTATGTACGTTTATTACCTATGCATTTACATAACAAGTCCTATACAACTATGTGTGTTTATTCATGTTAAATGCTATGTAAAAATTGCTTAGTTTTAGATAATATATAGCACTATATGAAATGTCCTGCATACTTATTTTTAAATTCTTTGATTACAGATTGATTCGATTTTCAAAACATCAACTATTTCGGAAGAAGTAATAAAAGCAGAAATCAGCATTGTAGCTGCCTTAGTTGAACATAATATTCCTTTTCGCGTAATGGATCATGTAAGCGAAGTTATTTCAAGGGCATTTCACGACTCCGTAATCGCAAAATGTTTTAAGTTTGAAGAACTAAATCTGCCGCAATTGCCTACAACATCGTAGGCAATAATTTCGAAGAATAAATGCTTGTAAAATTACGTACAAAACTGGAAAATTAAACTGAGAAAAGACCAGCATTTTCGCTCACTATTTAATACTACGCGAGCACAGATGTCAGTACTACGAAGGTACTTGCAGCAGCAATAAAGTACTACTACGAAAAAATGCAATCTCCACAAACAAAATTTTTGTGGATGGTGAACTTAAAAGGCGATACCGCGCAGGATTTGTTTGATAGTTTAACATGTACCTTATCTGAAAGAAATCTTAACATAGCCAATTTAATAGGCTTCACTGCTTATACCACGAATGTTATGTTCGGCGAAAGGAATAGTTTGGATCTAAAATTAGGGAAGTCAACCTAAACTGCATTTTTTGCAAATGTATTTGCCACTTAACAAACCTTTCAGTGAGTTATGTATGCAAAAAATTACCTCGTTCTATAGAATTGTTTGTCAAAGATGTTTTTTCATACTTCTGTCACAGTAGCCAACGACAAAGAGAGTTTGCCGAATTTCAAAATTTTACTGACACTCCAACTCACCATAATCACTCGTCATTATGATATAAGGTGGCTTTCTCTACATCAATGCATTCACAGAATTATAGAGCAGTGGTCAGCATTAAAACTTTTTTTTCAAAATGAGTTTTTAGGGAATAAGAATGGAAATGCTACTTGTCAATTTATATTTGATCACCTTAACAGCGATGAGACAAAACTTTATCTTTACTTTTTAGATTTCATATTACTCATAACTACAAAATTTAACGTTATTTTTCAAAGTGATCAGACACTTATTCATAAAATTGAAACAGACATACAAAACATGATGAGTTCCATTTTGAGTTGTTTTATGAAGATAAATTATATAAAAACTACTCAGCTTCAGTCAATAGATCTAAATTCAAAAATGCATTTCCTTCCTATGCAAAACATGTTCCTGGGCACAAATGTAGCAATGACATTGGAATCATTAAAAGATGATGTTCGAATGATATCTAAAATTGAAGAAATCCTTAACAGATGTCAATCATTTTTGATCGAGCTAAGTAACCAATTTCTGTACAGACTGCCTGTACAAGATAATTTTTTGCTGGATTTGTCGTTCATTGATCCCAAAAAAGCAGTGTATGGTGAATTTCGAACTCTGATAAGAATACTCCAAAGGTTTCCTAACTTAGTTGCAACAGAAAACATGCAAATTGTTGACAATGAATATGGGGAATTAAAATTAGACGTTTCCGTGTCTAATTTAATGTCAACTTCTAGTCCGACGTCTGAAACTTTTATGGTGAGTAAATTTTGGAGTGAAGTCAGCGAAATCTGTGATGCCAATAGCAAACCAAAGTATGGTAAAGTTATTACGTAATTATTAAATAAAAGATTTTGAATATTGATATGGTTACTATAAGACGTTGTTAGGTTAGCTAATTACGTAATAACTTAAGAAGGACCCTTAAGTTGGGACTGAATAAATTAACTGACTTGGTATTACATGGATCTCACAAATTTTCACGGTAGAAGAACTGAGTTGCGAGACTTGTTTTTTTTTACAAGTTATGTTTTTGATGGCATTTGTATTTTCTCGTCCTCTTTTGGTAGAATTCAGTAGCTTTTAACCTCCACAAGCAGTAGATTCGTCAAATGAAATCTGGTCACACTGGCGCTAGCACTTCTTATTAGTTTGTGGTTATTACCAAAGAATAAATAATAGTACTACGTTATTAAAAAATAAATAAATTAAATTCTTTGAGCATAGAAAATAGTTTATATTTTTATGCTCAAAGATTAAATTATACTCTAAGATAATGTCAGTTGTCAGTGCTCATTGACAGTTGACAGTTGACACTGGCGACTGAAGATAAAACGTAGAATAAATAGATATGTACCAACGCGGATAGAACTCGACTCGCGTTAACTCGGGTTGAAATTCACGTAAACCGAATTAAACTCGAGATAAGTAACGAGAAATGGCAGGATGAAGCCTAGTCAGTTTGTTACAAATTATTTATATATTTGTTACAAAAACCAAATGTAAGGCTGTAGTAAGGGACTGGTTGCAATCGTTGGATTATGGTTCTACGGAAAGTCTACTTCATTAATAGGTACTAACAAACACTTACACGCACGCACACGCACGCACACACACACACACACACAAACACGCGCGCGCACACTAATTGGAAGTTTTATCTCATTATCAACTGGATATCTAAGCATACGTGATTTTAATTAAGCTTTTGTTATGTTATACCTACTCCCGTGGATTGAGGATCCTGGTGATCTGCAATACATGTACTAATCAAAATAATAGTCGGGAATGAGGTAAAATATAAAATTAAATACGAATAAATGAAGATATAACGGTAATCTGCCACCTGTTCTAGCAGTATAAAGTATCGCGCAGGCGCCTGCGAGGTATCAGTGGGCATCAGTCTGTAATTCTACGAGTCTCAAGGTCGTTACTATGCTCGTTGGGGTATTCTACTAGCGTACAAAGAAGATCGTGTTGCTGAGATGCTGCCCTGTGTTACATTGAGATGGGTAGTGATGCTGTTGGTTTGCATACTTTTTAGTTATCATGTAATTGGGTCCTGATAGTAAGCAGGGCTTGTTACAGAGTAGTGTCCTTTTATTTAAATAATTTTGAGAATAATTTCGAAAAGATAAAGAGAAAGAAATGGAATAATTTCATACAATACCTATAATAGACACCAGTTTCTCACATAAACTTGACTGTGAATACTTACCTCCACACTAGGATTTTCCTCTGTATCGCAGGGTCAATTTACATACACAGAACAGACCCAGAACAATTATTTGTAGGTCATACAAATACTTGTTCCGTCTGGGATTCAAATCCACGGCCCTTAGCGCTGCAACTCAATACTAAGCCACCACGCCACGGAGCCGTCATTTGTCTGTTTCACATTTTTTGCTATTTACTATTGAGATAATTTTTTTCGTTTCATTAACCAGTTTTTGCACCACGCCGAACGTCTTTCCTTTTTGTTTTCTTATTTCGGTGTATTCTACTATATACCGCATGCGCGCGTCTTCGCTTGCCGACGTCGACTAACGTCATGCATACTTGACTGCTCATACACACGTTCAAGTTTACATGACGCTGCAAGCTTGATCAAGTCGGCAGAATCGAAATTCAATTTTTGCTTCAAGTAGACTTGTTACACACAATGCTAGCCATACACCGTCAAGTTTACTGGACGCCCCTTCAAGTGCGCTGCAAACTTGACGGTAAACTTGATCGTGTATGGCGGGCTTTAGTGATTGTCTGGACTCGAGTTAATTTGAGTTGAAGGTAACTCGAATTAGTAAATCGAGTCGAATTGACCATCACTAAGATAATAATAAATATCTGATAAAAATCTGATTAACAAGTTTATTAATTTCAGTTGCCGAGGAATGTTCTTTTTTCGTGAAAAGAATGTATTGTTAACATACAGGTTTTAAAATATTAATCTCGGATATTTACACAATTTAAAATCCCACATTATAAATGGTAAGGAAAGTATCATTATGAATATTTTGAGCATATTGACAATATGATGTTTCAAATATGTAATATTAATTTTTAACAATCTAATTATGGCCTAAATAAAGACAATATTTATGTTTAACTAATTCTGTAACATCGAACAGCTGGATTTTCTAAATTTATAATAAGATCATTTTAATTCGTTTAAAAATTACAAAAGATACATGTATCTATTTAAATACTTAGATTTATTCTTTCAGGCATCCACTACAAGTGAGGAGGAGGATGATTCCTCTTCTCTTACAAATGAATTGCTTGAAGCCCGTGATGCTTTGGAAAAATTGAGTTTTGCTAATGTCCAGGTGATTTTTGTATAACAATAGATCTTATAATTGATATAAAATAAGAGTAATGTAACTAGTTATCACATACTATGTGACCAATACAATTAGGTCCGTGACAGCTAAGACATCATTAGAACTAGTGGTTGGTGATTAGGGGTGGCACGGCGATAGAGGCAGAGTGCGGGCACAGATACCAGATACCTCTTTTCTATCATGCGCCTTATTGTTTTGGCCAAATTGTATGCTGCTGACCAGTACCTAGATATACTGTGTTCTTGCCATGTATATAAGTAAATTTTGTTTTGCAATAATAATTAAATAAAATTTTTAAAAGTATTAAACCTAAAATGTTGAGTTATGGAAATGATATATGGTCCTCTGCTGGCCATATGAGGAAGCTCAAAGTCACTCACCAAATTGAGGAGCGTTTTTACAAAGCAATACAACAAACAAAAAAGCAAATTTTATTTTTTTGCTCTTTTGAATACTCTTTCTATAGCTGAACATGATAGTATTAATGAATTTTCTGTAAGCAATACATAAACTATTCATATAGTACTGTAAAGTTTCTTAGTTTTTTCAAAGTGATACATCTACGACGAACAAAATTTTTCAAGACGATACATCAAACGCACTAGATTCGCTTTTTTATTGCTATCCTTTTCTGGCAAAATGGCATTATTATTATTGCGTCACATTATAAATCAGTATTATTGGGTAAGTCTCAAGAAAGCACGCACGTTTTTGGAGTTTAAATTTAATGAATAATCATGGATAACGGAGAATATGACACGCCAGTTGTTGAAGTTGTTAGGGGAAGAAAGTCTAGACGGCAACGCAACAGTCCGAAGACCTCTAAATACACACAAGAAGGAAAAGACGGTCCAGATTTAAACTGTGATCATCATCTAGATATAACAATAACAGGCTTTAAGAAAAGGTCATTGTGCCAGGCATTGAAACTTAGTTTCAATGATCTGAAAGGTAATATTTTACTAGTATATTTCGTAGTAACATATAAGTAACATATAAGTAGTAAGTTATAGTTCGTGCACAAAACATGAGTTATAGCGTATGCGTCAGTCATTTGGCTATTCTTTACATACCTGTGTTGTTGTATAGTGCGAACGCACCATACCACAAACCGATTAACTTTCTTAACTTACACATATGCATAGTTCATATTGTCTCATTTCAATTTCTGTCAAAATGTACACACGTTTCAAATATATGTAAACACGTGTTTTTTAATAAAATTTTACGCCAAAGTTTTCACTTGTTACAGAATTTAGACGGAAACTATACTTGAATAGTACAAAAATCGACCAAGATAAATTTTTGTTGAAGTACATGCGCATTTCTATCCCCAAAAGACGATCAAAAGTGACCAAGTCTGTAAACTACCGCAAAATGTCAATCGCTTATTTTGTTCCTATGGAGAATGGAGCAGAAGTTCAGGTTTGTTCGAAAACTTTTCAAAAAATAACAGGCACACAACGAATGCGTCTCCTTCGAGTAGCTAATGCATTTCTGGCCACGGGTTCGCAACCAAAAGAGCGCCGAGGTGGTAAGAGCGCTAAACAGCTGGAAGCTATAGCTGAGATGACAGATCTGATAAAAAATGACATCATGAAGTATAAATGTAGAGAAAGTCATTATTCTAGGAGCAAGTGTTCAAGATCTTACTTACCTCCTGAACTGAATTTAAAAATAATGTACGAGAAATTCATAGAAAACCAAGTCTATTTCTGAAAAAACGTGCTCTTTGTCTAAATACAAGTCAGTATTTTACAAAAACTTTAATTTAGGTTTCGGAAACCCTCATGAAGATACTTGTTCAGCTTGCAAGGAGTTTTTAATTAAAATAAAAAATGAAAACAACATTCGGACTGAATATCGCTTGCACAAGTTAAGGGCTAAAAAGTTCTTTAGTTTACTGAATGATACTGAAGATGATAAAGTTATTAAAATATGTTTCGATTGCCAGCAAAATCAACCTTTACCAAAATTAAGTGTTGGAGAGGTATTTTACTCTCGTCAAGCTTGGCTATATAATTTTTGTGTAATGCAACATAAACCTAAAACTAAACAAACCAAGGATGGTATAGAGTTTTATGTTTGGTTAGAAAATCAGAGCGGCCGAGGAGCTAATGAGATAGCTTCAGCACTTCAACATTATTTGAGAAACTTGGAAGAAATATGCCTAAGAGAAAATAAAAAAGATTTGAAGCTTGAACTGTATTCAGATTCTTGCAGCAGTCAGAATAAAAACTTTATTATGTTAACTATGTTAGCCAATTTCATGGCTTCTAGCAAGGTTTTTAATAAACTGAGCCACATTTTTCCTATTCCAGGCCATAGTTTTATGCCTCCTGATAGGGTATTCGGAAGGGTGGAAAAAGACTACCGTCGACGTGAAGTGATTGTCTCGCCAAAAGAGTACTATTCAATTTTAGGAAAACATGGACAAGTCAACGAATGGGGTAAAGATTGGTATACTTATAACATGAAAGCCACGGCAAAACGAATGATAAAGACAAAGCTACCATTTAAGATATCCCAAACACGGATAATTCACTTTACTAAAGTCGGATCACGAGTTTCAAAAAATATTGAAGTTGGTGTTCAAGATGCATATTCTGCTGCGCCAGTGACCACTGAAATAAAAAAGAAAAGAGTTAAATCTTTTTCGAGATTCGATTGTGACCAATTACCTAAAACTAATATGATCTCATTAAAGAAGAAAGCAGACGTCGAAAATCTACTTAAATTTTGTGACATTTCTGATGACCTTGATGCTCGGGAATTTTATGACGATGTGCTTCAGAGTTCTGGTCCTGACGATGACAATATTAGACGTAACTACGACGACGAAGAACTTGTATTATAACATGGTTTGGAATCTAAACTATTTGTATGGAGTTTTTATCAAACCGAGACATCAACAGCAGATGTATCAATTTTGAAAAAACTCGTAGTTTTGTGATCTCATTATTTCTGTTAATTATAGTTGATTGTATTTTATTATGTAAGTTAATAATAACTAAGTAAAATACTTACAAAATAAACTGTAATTTTCATTAAATATTCTTAACCTTAAAGAAATAAACACATAAAACCGTTTATTGAAAAATATACTTTTTTATGATGTATCGTTTTGTGAAAACGCTCCTCAATTATGAATGCTAGCATAGCATGCTATGCTTGCATCCATAATTTGGTGATAATGGTGTGAGTTTGTGCTAATTGCTGACTTAAGAGTTAGATGACACAGACAGATCTTGGTGAATTCAGTATATAAGTTTAATCCCCAGCAATGGACCCTGAACATACCTATGACAAACTCTTAACTTTAAAACGAGGGATCAGGTTGGATTTAGAATTGTTTGGCAGGAATTTGGGGGAGTAAGGTGTTTTATTTGGTAGAGATTTGGTCCCTGATTATAATAATACCACTCATATTAATAGGTAATGCACCGTTATTGAAAAAATAAATACAAACCTTAAATGCGTAAAACATGGAAAAATTACTGTGAAAGCTGGATAGCATACAGAATTTTGTGTAAGTGAGGCAAGGACGTAAGACTAGTGTCACATTATTCTACTGTCTATACTCTCTATCAAGAGATATTTCACTAAAGACAACTATAATAATAGAGAAAATTTTGCCAACTTCATATATGAATATTTATGGAGAAGAGAAATTATAAAGAATAAAAGAGATCCTTTTGAGGAATTAATAAAAAAAAATTATGTATACAGACAATAAAGAAATGATTATAATATACTGATTTATTTCTGAGTTGTTTAAAACTGCCCAGAAATACTTGAACACCTAGAAATAATTTCAGTTGTAATAGGTTAGAAGGTTGTGGCGGGAGCGAAGGCAACCTGACTTTATAGATAAGATATCTAATCTGATCAAATCTGTACTAAAATTAAACTATCACGCCCCGACTCCACGTAGTCTTGTCTGCCCTACTCCTAGAGTGTTTTTGTAAAGCCGTAGTCGCGGAGGGAGAGCAGCCCCCGCCCTCCGTAGCAAATCGTAGGCTACTTGTGCGAGCCATGGGTGCCTGTGATTCGCTACGCAAGGGCGAAGGGGCTGCACTTCCCACAGCGGCGAAGCCGTTGTAGAAGTAACTTTGGGTCAATAGTGCTGTGTTAAAAAGTGAGGTTATGATTTTACAAAAAAACCCTTACTAATAAACTATACTTTTCCACAATGAGGGAAAGGTAGAGGGGCTTTCCCTGATAGGGCACACTCCTGCTACCCTCTTCCCCCTCCTGCCGGAAACGATAAATGCTACTTTCAATTTAGGTCAGGTTTTTCTCAAGAACGGTGTGTTGCCTTTTAATGGGAGTGGTGTCGGGAGTAAGGGGAAGCTCCCCCCTTACCATCCCCTCATCCCCTTCCCCCTCCTGCCAAATAATTCTAAATTTCAACAGAGGGATCATCATTTATCTAAATTACCTTTTGATGTAAAGAGTATAAATACCTTTTTTTATAAGCTTTAGTTCATTCAAAATTTTGACTGATTAATAGATGACAGATGGTGAAGATGAACTAGCAGCATTCCGACAACAGTGGCAACGAGAATTGGAGGCATCTTCCCCTCAAAGAGAAACACCACATCAACAGACAAAGTTGGAGCTTGAGGAAACACTCTCTGATGAAGAAAAGGTTATTGTTCTGAGTTTATTTAAGGTTTTATTACTTAATGCTTAAAGGATATTTATTTAACTTACTTATTGTGTTTTTAATTTGACTTACAACACTTATGACAATGAAAGACACTATGACCACCTCTTTACACCTAGGCGTTAATACCCAAACCCATGACCCAAAAGGTAACCAACGGACCCTATTACTAAGGCTCCGCTGTCCGTCCGTCCGTCGGTCTGTCTATCCGTCTGTCTGTCTGTCAGCTGGCTGTATCTTATGATCCATAATAGGTAGATAGTTGAAATTTTCACATAATGTGTATTTCTGTTGCCACTATAACAAGAAATAATAAAAATTTAAATAAAATAATAATTTAAAAGGACAGACAGACGAAAATTTTAAAAATTGTGGTTTTGTTATAAGTATAATAACAAAAACACAATTTTTAAAATTTTCGTCTGTCTGTGTATAAATATACTTTCATATATATTTAGTGAAAAGTTGTTATTTTGACATTACAAACAGTCACTGCAATTTTATTTATTTGTATAGATATAGACAAATGAGGAAGTCTATTCCAGTGCCTTTTTTCTTTCTTAGACTATCTAGTTTTTTTTCTCAAGTTTAAAGCTAAATGGTTGAGAAAAATCACAGTGCAAATCAAGAATTTTATACTAAGCTAAGAACTCAAGTTGTACAACAGAAACCATATGAAACCAGTGAAAAAGGATATACCAAGAACATAAGGTGGTATGAAATTGCTATTATTTTATACTATAATTTTTATTTTTAATTTTTTTTTATTAATTTTAAAAAATGTTACAAACTCAGTGGGAGATCTCCTGTATTGTGCAGGGGACGGGGTATACATACATGAATTTTACAAGACCCACCACAATGATTTGTATAGTCCATACAAATACTTGTTCCGTGCGGGATTTGAATCGGTGAATGAATCTCGGCTTTTAAGCTACCTCAAATACAAAATGAGTACAAAATCATAGATTTGTTGTAAACGTCACACATAACGGGCGGATTGTCGATCCCAGTATTATAAGATATTGCTTCCTATAAATTGATATTGTTGACAATTGACAAAATTAGGACACAACACATTTTAGACACATTGACCAAAACTATGTGCAACTGTTTTATCACAAGGTTATAATGAAATTAAAATATTTGAGTCTTAATTTTCTTTCTTTCTATTTTTTTAATAGAAACAACCCCTCAATAGGATTTTCTCTCGTATTGTGGAGTTTACTCAGGATTGATTTTAATAAAAAAAATCTTTTAAGAAAACTTCTATTCATTTTACACTAGATAAGCTTTCAGATATTAATGAATGTCTTATCCAGCAAAGAATAAATTCTTACAAGCAAAAAAATAATTTTACATAGCGCTGTGTCATTAAAAATAATTGACTATTTATTTGCTTAGTAGCATAGTAAGTAGCGTAGTAATTTTACAGCTCTTACAGCAAAGAAAGAAAATATGCAAGACCTAGTTATTAAAAAATTATGAAAAAAAAAATTGTTTAGTAAGGGTTATTATACCAGGTGGCCCATAAGTCGTTAGAAATGTAAATTTCGAATAAAATACAAAAGGCGCGCATGAGTGGCGCGCGCGGTGCGGGGGGAGTACCGACGGTTTCTGGGAATTCAGTCGCCATGGAGCGTTTCACCGGTGCGGACCGTGCATTTTGTGTGCGCGAGTTTTATCGAAACAATGATTCGGCTACCATTGCGCGGCGTAAATTTCGAGAATATCAGAATTTACGCAACTTTAAAGACATTCCAAGTGTTCAAACGATTAAGAACTGGGTTATTAAGTTCGAAGAGAGTGGTTCGACGTTGGATAAACAACGGTCAGGTCGACCAAGGACATCACGGACGGAAGAAAACATCGATGTAGTGAAACACTCAATTCGTGAAAATCCTACCCAGTCTACTCGTAAGCGTTCCAGTGCATTAAACTTACCCAGAACATCGTTACAGCGAATTTTAAAGAAAGATTTACATCTTCACCCGTACAAGATTCAGTTAGTACAGGAATTAAAAGATACTGACACTATCCACAGACTAAATTTCGCAAATGAAATGTTGAACCGCTTTACTTCGTTTAATAACGTGTTATTCTCTGATGAGGCTCACTTTCACATCAACGGCCATGTCAATAAGCAAAATTGTCACTACTGGAGTTGCGAAAATCCAAATCGCAAACATCAAAAGCCCTTACATAGCCCTAAAGTGACAGTTTGGGCGGCTATGTCAGCGCATGGCATTATAGGCCCTTACTTTTTTGAGGACAGCAGAGGCCGCGCGCTTACTGTTACTTCACAACGGTATGTAGCTATGATCCAGGACTTTTTTACACCAGAGTTGCAGAATTTTCCAGGCTTCAATACGCGGACCTGGTTTCAACAAGATGGAGCAACTGCCCATACCTCTAACGTCGCTATGCCGGTCGTCCGTCAACTTTTCCCTAATAAAGTGATCTCTCGAAGAGGAGATATTCCTTGGCCACCACGTAGTCCAGATCTGACCCCAATGGACTTTTTCTTATGGGGTTATCTTAAGACTAAAGTGTACGAAACCAACCCGCGGACAATTGACGTCCTGAAAGAAAATATCCAAAGAGAAATGGCAAACATTACAGAGCTTACTTGCCACGCAGTGATGGATAATTTTAAACGTCGCTTACAGGAGTGCCGCGATCGTAACGGATTACATTTAGATGATGTAATTTTCAAAAAATAATTCCCATTTTATAAGGATTATGACAAAATAAAAACCTTTTTCATAATGTCATTAGTTTTTTTTTAAATTATTTTTTTACATTTCAAGGGACTTATGGGCCATCCTGTATAACTAAAAAGGCGGAAGGCTCCGAAAAGGATTTAGCACATACATACCCTTCGGCATATTGTACAGAAGACCGAAGAGTACAATCTGCCACTTTGCTTGCGTATGTGAACTATGAGAAAGCCTTTGATTCCGTCGAAATTTGGGCGGTGCTGCAGTCCCTTCAGCGATGCCAAGTTTACTGTCGGTATATCGAAGTGCTGAAGTGCTTGTACAGTAGGGCTACGATGGCTATCCGAGTACAAAACCAGAGTACGAAACCTATCCAACTGCAAAGAGGTGTAAGACAGGGTGACATTATATCCCCGGAGCTCTTCACCGCTGCATTGGAAGACGTTTTCAAGCTACTGGACTGGAAAGGATAAGGTATTAACGTCAATGGCGAGTACATCACTCACCTTCGATTTGCCGACGATATAGTCCTTATAGTAGAATCGCTGGAGGACCTAAGCACTATGCTCAATGACCTCAATAGTGTCTCCCAACGGATAGGTCTTAAGATGAACATGGACAAAACAAAAATCATGTTTAATGCCCATGTCACACCTATACCGGTAGTTGTTGGAAACACTAAGCTCGAAGTTGTTGACAAGTATGTTTACCTGGGACAAATAGTCGGACTAGGTAAGTCTAACTTCGACCGAGAGGTCAATCGACGAATTCAACTCAGCTGGGCAGCGTTCAGGAGATTACGACACATCTTCTCGTTAGACATACCTCAAAACTAGATTGTTCAACCAGTGCGAATGATGAAGTACAAATACATTTAGAAATAGCATGGTAGCGATCACCTCATTCCCCAGGAGTTATGATAATCATGTACTCTTTAGTCGTATCATCATTACAGCCCTTCACAAGTCCACTACTGAACATAGGCCTCCCCCAAGGAATGCCACAAAGCACGGTCCTGAGCCGCCTGCATCCATCGACTTCCTGCATATCTTACCAGGTCGTCACTCCATCTAGTGGGGGGACGCCCTACACTTCGTCCGCCGGTACGAGGCCGCCACTCGAGAACCTTTTTTCCCCAACGGTTGTCGGTTGTTCGAGGTATATGGCCGGCCCATTGCCACTTCAGCTTACTAATCCGTTGGGCTATATCGGTCACTCTGGTTCTACTGCGGATATCCTCATTTATAAGTTTATCACGCAGAAAAACGCTGAACATAGCCCTCTCCATAGATCGCTGAGCTTCCTCATACGGTCAGTAGTGAACGACCACGTCTCAGTTCCATAGGTCATCACTGGCAACACGCACTGGTACAATTTCGTTTTAAGGTTTTGAGGTATGTCTGACGAGAAGATGTGTCGTAGCTTTCCGAACGCTGCCCAGCCGAGTTGAATCCGTCGATTGACCTCTCGGTCGAAGTTGGACTTACCTAGTCGGACTATTTGTCCCAGGTAAACATACTCGTCAACAACTTCGAGCTTAGTGCTCCCAACAACTACCGGCATAGGTGTGATATGGACATTAAACATGATCTTTGTTTTGTCCATGTTCATCTTAAGACCTATCCGTTGGGAAACACTATTGCGGTCATTGAGCATAGTGCTTAGGTACTCCAGCGATTCTGCCATAAGGACTATATCGTCGGCAAATCGAAGGTGAGTGATGTACTCGCCATTGATGTTGATACCGTATCCTTTCCAGTCCAGAAACTTGAAAACGTCTTCCAATGCAGCGGTGAAGAGTTTCGGGGATATGACGTCACCCTGTCTTACACCTCTCTGCAATTGGATAGGTTTCGTACTCTGGTTCTGTACTCGGATAGCCATCGTAGCCCTACTGTACAAGCACTTCAACACTTCGATATACCGACAGTCAACTTGGCACCGCTGAAGGGACTGCAGCACCGCCCAAATTTCGACGGAATCAAAGGCTTTCTCATAGTCCACATACGCCAGACATAGTGGCAAATTGTACTCTTCGGACTTCTGTACAATTTGCCGAAGGGTATGTATGTGGTCTATGGTGCTAAAGCCCTTTCGGAAACCGGCTTGTTCGGGAGGCTGGAAGTCGTCAAGTATGCGCGCGAGACGATTCGTAATGACTCTCGAAAACAGCACGTAGACGCGGCTCAGAAGGGAAATCGGCCTGTAGTTCTTCAAGAGAGCGTTGTCACCTTTCTTGAAGAACAAGACCACCGCACTCCTGCTCCACGCCTCCGGTGTAATGCCACCATGGAGGACGGAATTAAAGAGCTTCTGAAGGACTTCAAGTACCGGTCTTCCACCCGCTTTCAGAAGCTCCGCTGTAATTCCATCATCGCCTGGGGCCTTACCGTTTTTAAGGTGCTGGAGAGCCATCCTAATCTCGCTCAGACTGACATCCGGGATATCTTCGGAATAGTGTCGGATGAGACTCGCTCTTGGATCGTTACTCACATTTGCGTGTGGCTCCAACGATGATGTGTACAGCTGCCCATAGAACCTCTCAATCTCACTCAAAATCTCAGGTGTCCCGGAAACGATGCTGCCACATTCTGTCTTCAGCTTTGACAGTTGGCTCTTTCTGGCAGACAGATCTCTGGCAAAGACTTTGGAGCCTTGGTTCCGCTCGATCGCTTCTTCAATACGAGCTGTATTGAAGTTGCGTAAGTCTCGCCGCATGCATTTGGAGATCTGTCTGTTCAGATGCCTGTATGCTGTCAAGTCTGTTGAAGAATGTAGCTTCATCTCCCGTCTAACAGCCATGAGATTAAGAGTGTGATCGGAGAGTTTTTGTGTTCTTCTGCGGCGGGTCTTGCAGAAGTTAGCTCCGACCGCATGGACAGTTTCCACGAGCTTGTCATTCATATCGTCCACTTCATTGCAGTCTTCCAGGCACTGAAAACTCGAGCTGAAAGGTTTCGGGACTTTGGAACAGAGCACGAGGGGGACGGAGCGTTGACTTCATTAGACGAGACCTCTCCAACTTAACGTTTAGGTTCAGTGTGCCTCTAACCATTCGGTGATCGCTACCAGTTTTCACCCTCGCGATCACGGAGACATCACTGAACAGTTGTTGTCTGGTCGTCATAATGAAGTCAATCTCATTTTTTGTGGAACCGTCGAGGCTCGACCAGGTCCACTTCCTGTGGGGCCGCTTCTGGAAGAAAGAGTTCACCATAAAGAGTCCCTCTTTCTCCATGAAGTCGGCCAGCTGCTGGCCCCTTGGGTTCCGTTGCCCTATTCCAAATTTCCCTACTTTCAGCTCACCGTTCTCTCTTGTGCCTAGTTTTGCATTGAAGTCTATTACTATTATAATAGTTAGTTAAGTAGTTAGTAATAGTATATATATATATATATATATACTATTACTAACACCGTATATTGGGTATTTGTACTTAATTTTATAAAATACTATCTGGTACCCAGCGCGTTGCTGCCACAGTAGAAATAATTGTGGAAAAATATCATTTAAAATTTCTAAGAGTTATATTGTTTAATTAGTAATGATAATGATGATGAAATATAACTTTCAAATAAATTTGTCGGTACGATACGCGCGCCCACCTACTGTAATTTAATTGTACTATGCCTATAACCATCGCGCAGGTACGAGCAATAAGTTGACAAAGTTTAACCACAATCTGATAATTGGTATGGCAGTGTATAAAATACGAACAAACATAATTTTTTATATATTAGATAAATTAATGTTTAAAACAATCCTTCTGGGTTTCTGCTGGTTCTTCCCAGGACAGAGGTTTTTTCCAAAGCAGTGGTAAAATTGTAATGACTTTCAATTAAAAATAAATCATAACCGTAGTGGCGGCTGCTTCTGTTCCGACTGTATCACATTAAAAACATTACTTGATGATAGAAATCCAAGCTCCCTCCAATTGGCAGTAGTTTTGTATAATTTATCCAGGCAAAGCAACTGTTTCTTCGTGGAGTAGAACTGGAGCGAAGTGGGAAACTGTATGAAGCCATCCAGCACTACAAACGCTCAATGCAAATTATTCCCGATGTGGAGACGCGCCTGTACGAGAGCACGGAACAGAGAGCCGAAACACCAATTGGTAAGATAACCCAATGTTTAAATTAATGAATTGACTACGACAAACCACAAAACTTCCAGATCGGGATCGGCATCAATGTGTTTCATATGCATTGACGGATCGAGAGATTACAGGATTATCATAGTGGTATATTTTTTGCAGAGGAGTTGAAAGTGGAAGAAGTAAAGCGAGTGGAAGATGTTGATAGCGACGAGGAAACGATCGACGGCGAGGACCTGGTATCGCGCTTACAGAGGATCCTAGCGAAGAAAGGCACATTGTGTCAACCTGAATTTTCTATAAGAGTAAATAGATATAACTATTTTTTTTTAATTACTTTTGCATTGTACAGAGCTTGGAGATGACTGACAGATACCATGTTAGGAAAATCTCATAAGGGCCAGCTATGAATTATTCATTATTTCTTTAGTATTTTGTATTGGCCAGGAGGACTTTATTATCATTATTTCTCTAGGGAGCTCACCTATCATGGCTGCCATATGAAGTAATCCAGCTGGTGCTTCGTTGGGCTGTGAGTTCTGAGCTGGATGCTGTGACCCTGGAGCGAATCTCCGCAACTTGCAGGGGACTTTACGTCGCCGCCCGCGAGCCTGATATCTGGCGATCGCTCTGTGTCAAGTGAGTTCCATAATTATAGTTAGAAAGATTCCGTTGTATACAGTAAATATTGTTATTTGTTTTATTTACTAATAATTTACCATGCACAAATACACAAACATACATTTATATATAAGTCACTGTCTCGAGCGCACCGCGTCAGTTACACGAGAGCCTCGGGCGAGAGTGGACGTGTTTAGTTAAGTGCGTGCCGAGCCTGTGTTACACTACAGTGATTAGAGAAGATAGCAGATATTACAGCCGTATATGGTGATCATTTAACTATTTATTTTTAAGATTTCAAATTTTCTAATATAGAATCTGTGGAGATCAGGGGCTTAGTGCCAGCAACTAGAGTACCATTATCGCTCACTCTACTGAAATTGTTAATAGAAAATTTGAAGTGTTAATTCCATACGCGCTCAGTGGGGAAGGCGACGGTGGCAATATTTTGAGGAAACCTGTGTGTCCTTGCGTGTTCGCTCTGTTGTACTGTTTGCTTTGTTGTTTTGTGTTGCGTTGTGGTCCATGCGTGCCGAAACACGCACATGGAGCAGAGCGGCAAACTAAGTAATTAGACGGCTCTGTGGCGCAGTGACTTAGCAATAAGTTGCACTACCAAGAGCCGCGGGTTCGAACCCCGCACGGAACAAGTATTTGTATGGCCTACAAATAATTGTTCCGGGTTTGGATGTTTGTCCTTGTGAAATTTATGTATGTAAACTGCCCCCACGATACAGGAGAAAATCATAGTGTGGAGGTAATGTTTTTATAAATAAAAAGAGAAAAGAGTAACTACGCCATAAACATTAATTAGAAAGGACCTGTGCGCACTGCCCAGCCTTGGAACGTATTTAGGCTCTAAAGGAGACAATTTATTTTTGTATACAGAATGGCCCCACCACAAATTGTGGCGTAACTTAATGAAATGCATGTCGATTTATTTCTTATAATGTATAGATTACAATAGTGATATTAGTTCTCTACGTGGTAGAGCCATGCTGCAGCTATATTATGTTTGTAGCACGAATGGGTCGGCTCAACCGGGGAAGGACCACGCTCTCACAGAAAACCAGCATAAAATAGCAGCTTAACGCTGCTGTGTTTCGTATGGTGAGTGTAGTGAACCGGAGACCCTTTTTACTAGCAAAGAGGCATTCCATCTTAGTCCTCACGGGTGACAACGCATCTGCATCTTGAGTCTTTATTGAGGATAGACGGAGATGTCTATGGGTCACAGTAACCACTTACCATCAGGTGGACTGTGTGATCGTTTGTCACCCAATTCTATAAAAAAAAGTTTTACCGTATGTAACGGGAAAACTGAGAAATTAACAATTAAAATATGAATATCACAATAATCTAAAAACAAACTAAAAGCGATTGTCTAGTAGTTTTCACCGGTATTATAAGTTATATTATTTCAACTAGAATTTCGCCAAAACAATTGGCGTTAGTTTTTAGAGAACTTTTGCGTGGTATTGTGTATCTAGTTTTTTTTATATCTATATATATTATATATTTATTAGTGATCGATGTGCACTGGCCAATAATCAATAGTATGAAACAAAGTTGTAGGTACATTCAGCATTTATAGGTACTTTAAGATTGATGGCAAATCCTTTGAATAGTTCGTTCTTCGTTACACGTATTTTTTCATATTACACTAGACAGAATATGAATATCAAAACAAATATTTTTTTTTTCAGATCTCATGATTCCGGTTAGATTTTCATAAAACCTTTAGGCCTTTTACTATAATATATTGGTATATTTTTTTACGTGTAATAAAATTAAGTTACGTGAAAATTTCTAGTGGGTCCAAAAACTATTGTCTGCTTTAGTTTTTTTAATTGATGGAAAATAAATAACAGCCCACACATGTACATCTGGAACCATTTCCCGCTCAAAGTTGTGAAGCAGGAAATGTTCGTCTAGCTATTTCAGTGCGATTCAGACCGGTTTTTAAATTATTTTCAACTTCCTTGGACATGCAGGTTTTCACGTGTTTAAATCTTAAAGTTGCTTGTATACTATCAAGTTAAGGAGAGCTATCATCTGCGCGTTACCTACGTCTTATTATTATTATTAATAAGTTGTTAAATAAATGCGTTTTCATTGATCAGGACTTGGGGAATCGAGTGTGGAACTCCGAGGGCGCATGGTTTTGGCTCGTGGCGCCAGATGTACATCGAACGGCCCCGGATCCATCTCCACGGCTGCTACATTAGCAAGACGACGTACCTCCGTCACGGCGAAAACTCCTACCAGGATCAGTTCTACCGACCCTGGTATTTAGTGGACTATTATCGGTACCTTAGGTTTGTATATTTAAACTTTTATTTTGGGCCGGCCATACTGTTCGAAAAACTGACAACTGATGGAGAAGAAAGGTTCTCGAGTGGCAGTCCCGTACCGATAGGCGAAGTGTAGAGCGGCCCCTCACTAAATGGAGTGATGACCTGGTAAGATATGCAGGAAGTTGATGGATGCAGGTGCCTCAGGACCGTGCTTTGTGGCATTCCTTGGAGGAGGTCTATGTTCAGCTGTGGACTTGTGAAGGGTTGTAATGATGATGAAAAATGAAATAATTGTCACCACATTCTTAACTGTTGTGTTTCGGTTTGTCGATGAACCATAATCTGTTTCCATATACAGTATAACGAACACTATTTCATAAAACAATTTAAGAGCAAATATTATTTCTTTAGTATTAATTTAAGATATTGCAACATATACGCAAATAAAACTTTATGTGAGTTTAAAAGGAATGGGATTGTCAAACTATCAATTCGCTTTGCATTGCATACTCCGTTCAAGTGTGTTGTGTAGGAAGTGTAAAAAATATATTTGATAAGTATCTATATTATTTATTTTGTTATATGTTGTTATTGCATTTTGTTATATTTTCTTATAGTACTTGAATCTCTAAATGAATTTCAAAATGGCGACGAGTGAGGAGAGTGAAGTTGTCTGTTAAAAACTAATCCAGGGTCGAAGTAGGTTTTATTTTTGTGTGATTTTAAATTGCCACTGATAATCTATCCATATAATTATTTATTTACATAACATAATATACAATATTTTATTATATACAATATTAAAAAACTATAATAATAATAAAAAAAAACTAAAACTAGTAACTTAATTAATCATACATTTTTACTCCTCATGGTATCGTGCCAAGAACGCTGGCTGCGTTTCCCCGCTGAATGGCTATACTTAGCCTTTGAGCGAGAAAACAACCAGCCCTCTTATGACCAGCAGTAACGACCAGCCGCGGATGTAGTTCCTTTAGGAACCTCACCGCACGTGGACCCCACGGACCGATAGTCTCTACAGCAAATGGCACAATTATGTAGTCAACTCTCAGAGACTCATTTTTGCGGCTCTTACTCAGTTCAGCTGCCTCTGATGCCGCCCCGGCTCTAAACGGGGTACCCCTGAGATGAGAGACCGCCAGACGCAAGCATCCCACACTAGGGCTCCCAAGGGACCAATGTCATAACGTCGGGTTTCTTGCCATCGTTTCTAAATATTCCACAAGGCTCTAAAACCGAGGGAACTAAGAGACAAGAGCTTTTCGGATGACATCGTTTAAAGAACCGTACCGTGAAAACGTACAAGCACTTTTCTTACATGAAAGTCCGTGGAGCCCAAACTTGTCGACGCTGCTACCACAGGGGCACTGATGGGGTTGACAAATCTCCGCTTCTAGTCGGATTCCTACGGCGATGCGCAAGCTTTCCCCATCAAGTAATGTGCCGAGATTACTGGATGGTAAAGCGTGTAACCAGTAACTAGATTCCTTAGTCGAAACAGCTAGAAGGCGTGCCTAATCTTCGTCACTATGGCTATTATGAAACAAATCTTTCTGCACGCAATGTACCAACGGAATATCCCACTTTTTTTTATTGGTTAACTTCCAGTGGAAGATTTTCACTGGGACACAGCGTCGCCATGTCTGCCCTTTTTTTTATGGGATAAGGGTGACAAACGAGCACACAGTCCACCTGATGGTAAGTGGTTGCTGCGGCCCATAGACATCTACATATATCCTCGTGTGCGAATCAAAATGCAGATGCGTTGCCACCCGTGAGGACTAAGATGGAATGCCTCATTTCCAGTGAAAAGGGCCTCCGGCCACCTGCACTCACCAAGCGAAACGCAGAGGTAAACCTCTACTTCACGCTGGTATTCTGTGAGGTCGTGGTACCACCCCGGTTCGAGCCGGCCCATCCGTGCGACAGCAAAAGCTGCCGCGTGGCTCTACCACTGTTAAAACCCTGCCTCCGTAGCAAAGCACAGGTCTACTTTATTATTTAAAATTATGTTACATAAGTCACTGACACTCTGCACGGAAGCAAGGAAAGCAGGCAACGCAACGCTAGAAATATTTCTTACACCAATACCACCAAATTTTGTAGGTAAAGTAGCTTGAGATAGGCTATTGTATTTAAAGTTAAATTTTAAAAGAAGTTTTCTTGTGGAATCTATTACCACCAGAGATTATTCCGGACCGACACGACTTAGGGACCTTCAAGAAAAGAGCGTACTCCTTTTTAAAAGGCCGGCAACGCATCTGCAATTCCCCTGGTTTTGCAGTTGTTCATGCGCTGCTGTAATCACTTACCCTCAGGTGAGCTGTATGCTCGTTAACCCCCTTTCCTATATAAAAAAACTTTTGATTACATCGTTAACAGTCTGCGCCTCTTGCGCAGGTTTTTCCACGATGGCGTGGTGTTGATGTGGACGACCGCTGAGGAGCCGGCGTCTTGTGTGGCTCAGTTGAAGTACCGCACGGCCAAGCCCAGTCTGGGCATCATGGCTGGACATTACCGACTCGTTGGAGATAAGGTAAGATAATAACATAAACCCTTAATAGTTGAGGATTGGTTTGTCAAAAATATTGTTTATTTTATTAAATTAGAGTCAGAGCTATACATACCGATATAGCAAACAACTTTTTTAAACGCAATCTGTCTTTATTACCGTTACGCAGGGAGAGAGAAGAGGTGGGACTTCCCACAGACCTGCTAAACGTACACTTCAGTGTGTGTCGCTTTAGGCCGGCCACATACATACGGAATTTTGAACGGGTCGGCCAACATACATTCGGAATCCCGTTTTGCCCGCTTAACTTCGAACGGAAAACTACTGTACGTGTGTGATGGATCTTTAATTTTATATGGAGTTACTGCGTTCCCACCGCCACATACGAGCGCGGCACTGAAAATTTCGGGAGTCAAGGAAGTGACACAACATTACTATTTAAAAATGTAATTATTGCTTTTTGAAGTGTTCTCCGCGAAATTTGACACATTTTTCCATACGATGGAACCAATCATTGAAGCAACCATTCCATTCGGAAATTGGGGTCTCCAAAATGGCCGTTTTGTAGGCGTCCATAGCTTCTTCAGGTGATGAAAATCTCTGTCCACGCAATTTATTCTTTATTTTAGGGAAAGTATAGAAATCATTAGGGTCGGGGCTGTACGGCGGATGGTCTAATAATTCTATGTTTTCTTGCTCTAAAAACTCTTTTGTTCTGTGTGCGGTGTGAGAACTCGCATTGTCGTGATGGAGGATGATGCGGCGGTTGCAGTTCTCTTTACGGAGTTCAGAAACGACCTGTGGCAAACAAATGCTAGCATACCATTCTGCATTAACCGTTCTTTGTCCCTCAAGAGGAATAGTAGTAACATGGCCGGTTTTGGAGACAAACGTGGCCACCATTTTTTTTGTAACACTCCGTGAACGAACAACTTTTGTTGGCTTTAACTCATTTTCGAACACCCAAACTCGTGACTGGTTTTTTGTTTCGGGTTCGTACGCGTATATCCAGGATTCGTTACCTGATACGATGTTGTATACAGCATTTGAGGTTCCTGCGTGGAATCTTTTGAGAGTTCTGACGCACCAAGTAACGCGAGCCGCTTTTTGCTCTTCACAGAGCGAATGCGGTATCCATCGGGAAAACAACTTTTCTACACCTAATTGTTCATGCAAGATTATTTGATTTGTCTCATGCCAATGTCTAAAGTTACCTGAATTTCGCGGTATGTCACATGTCGATCTTCCTCAATCAGCTTACGCACAGCATCAAAGTTTTCTTGGGTGACTAAAGTTTTTGGACGACCTTGACGGGGATCATCACTGAGCTTGACACGTCCACGTTGAAATTCAGTAAAACAGCGATAAATTGTGGTTTTGGATGGAGCTTCATCACCAAATGCAGAAATCACACTGTTTTTGTGTTAAACCATTTCGAAATTCATAATAAATCATCGCTCTTGAATTTTCTCGAGTCCATTTTCTCAACGACTAAACAAGTTTGACAAAACCTTGTGACAAGACCGAGAATCTTTTTTTAAATAAATAAATGGTATTCGATTTTTAAAATCAAGGACTTTTCGATTAAAAAAAATTTAATATGACAGGAACAGTGCAAATATTCCATTCCCGATACTTTTAGTGCAGCCCTCGTACATTCGGAGTAAGTGTTGCCATCAAAATACTATTTCTATAACATTGGGTTTTTTCATTTATGCATTCATTAGAGCCTATCAAAATCCACTGCTAAATAAGTTTAGATCCCTCCCCATAGATTGCCTTATAAGGCCGGCTACATACATTCGGAATTCCGTTTCTGAATTCCGAATCGGGATTTTGTAAATACCTCACACACATACGTTTATTTCCGTTCGGTTCCGTTCATTTTGGCAGCGAATAATGACGATGATTTTCTGATTGCGATTCCGTTGTTGCTGTATCATTGTTACCCTTAACACCCTAAGATTGCAATATAGTCAATTTAATGTAAAAAGATCTATCGATGTAAAGATTTTTTTTTAAAATATGGATGTCTATAAATTCTTTCGACGAATTATTAAACAAAATAAGATGAAAGGTTACGAAAAGAGATACACATATAAGATTACATGTAAAAACATATATAAACACACCTACTCGGTTCGGTCGTACGACGCACACTGGGCGCGTTCCGTACGGAATTTACGAATGTTTGTTGCGACTCTGAAGAATAGCTTTCGGAATTCCGAATCCACAGGCAGTTATGCGGAATTTCGAATCGAAGTAAATTTCGAACGGAAAACTACTCTGACCTGTACGTGTGTGACGGGTCCTTGATTTTATATGGACTGGCTGCGTTTGGAATCCCGAAACTGAATTCCGTATGTACTCGTATGTGGCCTGCCTAAGGGGGGATATTTGCCACATTGCTACGCTTGGCAGGCAGGTTAACAACATTCGTTCTTTTTTTTTAAGTTGTTATTAGGAAGATGCTGCTGCCCCTCTCGTGGTTTGTTTTTCTCTGTCGCCTTTTACTACACCCGCTGGACTACTATATGGGGTAGTGGATATTTTTACACTGCCACTACACAGTAGAACATTTACTGTGTGAAGGTATATATTTCGCTATTGCTGGGGGTCGCACCAATACTACGTCCTACCACTGGCTCCCTACATTTCTTCCCTTCCGGTGCTATCAACTTTTTGCTAGTTCAACGCTTCAAAGTCTACTGAACAGTTTCGGTGGCGTACTCTGTTTATTTTACGCCTTTATACTTTTTTAAATACCTTCTGTAAATAGGTTGTTTTTCTACCGACTTCAAAAAGGAGACGGTACTCAATTCGGCTGTATGTTTTTTTATGTGTGTTACCTCATAACTTTTTACTGGGTGAACTGTACCTCTGTAAGACTTTCTGATAAAATTTGCCATGAATAAATCTGAATGGCATGTAAATGCCTAAGCACAATAAAGGGTAGTTATTTTGATATTACGTACAGACACTTCAATTACAAACACACAAAAATACAGAGCAATATTTCCTTTGACTTAAAAAAAAATATTTAAATTTCTTTTTGTAGCATTTAATTTCACTTGTTTCATTTCCTTGAAGTTTTCCTTTGTGAACCCAGGTTGTGATAGTTATAAAGAAGATAAGCAGCGAGAAGAAGCCGGCGCAGACGACCAACACCAGATTCCGTTCGCGCAGAAAAGACACGCATGAGCAACAGGAGCAGACATTTCATTTGGTAAGCTTGTTCGTGTATCAACACCATGAAGCAAATATAAAGAGGAGACGTTCTAATTAAGTTTCACTATGTAACAACGCGTGACAATTTGCGGGGTGAGGAGATGCAAAGCCCCGCCCAATTTACACCATCTAGATCTACCGATAAATAGTAAAACTATTCGAATCGTTCCATATCGATGTTGCAATGTAGTTTAGCTAGCTAGACGGTAGATGGCGGTATGTTCACAAAATGATTATAAACTATAAAAATAACACTTTGGCGATTAAATTTTCTTTGTCTGAATGCAAAACAAACTTCAGCACCTTTGTATGATTATTTTATTAATACTGAGCTCTACGTACCTTTATAACTTTATATTTTTAGTTCACATGACACAAAGTGTCGCCATCTAGTGTCGAATATATTTAATTATATTTGAAAGCCGACGGAAAGAGATTTTTCTAGAACTATTTTAATAAATTAGGTGTAAAATTACTTACAAATGAAATGTGATGCCATCCATAGCATCAGAGCGTCTATCTGAGTAGTTTTTACACGATAAAATACAACACTTCATCCTTTTGCTCTTAATACTACGAAAATACACCGATTTGCGATTTTCAACACATAAGCGCACAGGACGAGTGCTGACAGTATACTAACTAAAGCCACGCCCACTATGATGACGTCAGGACCTACTTAGAATCACAGTGCACAGTTGAATATGCCGTCTCCTCTTTATATTTGCTTCATGATCAACACTTAGAGTTAGAAAACTTAGCTGTGCTGTCGTAAGGGGCGACTAACGGATATGCTAAAATGATCTTTATGTCCTTTTATATATGGTACACTGCTATCTTGTTCTTTTTCAATAGCTCGTAAAACTTTCTTGCCGCTTTTTATCACAATGTCTCTTTTTAAGATGGAACGCTTCGTTTCCAATAAAAAGGATCTCTGGTTTTCTACAATCACTATACGAAACACTGCAGCATTGAGCTCCTATTTGACGCTGGTATTCTGTATTCGTGGTTCCATACCTTGGTCGAATCGATCTATTCGTGTTACAACCATAATATAGCTGTAGCGTGGCTCTATTATGTACACACATCAATAAAATCTAGGTATACCTTAATCCTAAATTATATACGACTTTATAGTTTAAAACCTTTTTAGCTTCCATAAAAAGTTTATATACAGATTGAAACATCTTTTATTCTATTTTTAAAATTTAAAAATGTAAATATAAAACAAAAGATAAATAAAATACGGCGGCAAAAATGTTAGTAATTCGTTACGTCAAGGAAAATTAAAATTGTTCCCATCATCATCATTACAGCCCTTCACAAGACCACTGCTGAACATAGGCCTCCCCCAAGGAAGCCACAAAACACGGTCCTAAGCCACCTGCATCCATCGACTTCCTGCGTGTCTTACTAGGTCGTCACTCCATTTAGTGGGGGAGTGACAAAAATTGAGAAAGGTATGCTGAGATGGTTTGGCCATGTCGAGAGAATGAATGAAGAACGATTGACGAAAAAAGTGTTTAAGGCGAGTGTGAATGAAAGTGTTGGAAGGAGTAGACCTAGGCGGACATTTCAAGACCAAATCAGGGACGTCTTGAAAAAAGGCCAGGTCAAGAGTACCCTAAACCGTAGAGCATGTATGAAGGGAATAATGAAAGTGGACGAAGCGAAACAAGTATGTAAGGATCGTAGCAAGTGGAAAGAAGTGGTCTCTGCCTAACCCTACGGGAAAGAGGCGTGATTATATGTATGTATGTATGTATGTTCTGTACTCGGATAGCCATCGTAGCCCTACTGTACAAACACTTCAGCACTTCGATATACCGATATTCAACTTTGGCATCGCTGAAGGGACTGTAGTACCGCCCAAATTTCGACGGAATCTTAGGCTTTCTCATAGTCCACATACGCAAGGCAAAGTGACAGAATGTACTCTTCTGTCTTCTGTAGAATTTGCCGAAGGGTATGTATGTGGTCTATGGTACTAAAGTCTTTTCGGAAACCGGCTTGTTCGGGAGGCTGGAAGTCGTCAAGTCTGCGTGCGAAACGATTCGTAATGACTCTCGAAAACAGCACGTAGACGCGGCTCAGAAGGAAAATCGGTTTGTTAGTTCTTCAAGAGAGCGTTATCGCCTTTCTTGAAGAACAAGACCACCGCACTTCTGCTCCATGCCTCCGGAGTAGTACCACCATGGAGGACGGAATTAAAGAGCTTCTGAAGGACTTCAAGTACTGGTTTTCCACCCGCTTTCAGAAGCTCCGCTGTAATTCCATCCTCGCCCGGGGACTTGCCGTTTTTAAGGTGCTGGAGAGCCATTCTAACCTCGCTCAGACTGACGTCCGGAATATCTTCGGAATAGTGTCGGATAAGACTCGCTCTTGGATCGATACTCACACTTGCGTGTGGCTCCAACGATGACGTGTACAGCTGCCCATAGAACCTCTCAATCTCACTCAAAATCTCAGGTGTCCCGGAAACGATGCTGCCACACTAGGTCCTCAGCTTTGACAGTTGGATCTTTCTGGTAGACAGATCTCTGGCAAAGACTTTGGAGCTTTGGTTCCGCTCGATCGCTTCTTCAATACAAGCTGTATTGAAGTTGCGTAAGTTATGCCGCATGCGTTTGGAGATCTGTCTGTTCAGTTTCCTGTATGCTGTCAAATCTGTTGAAGACTGCAGCTTCATTTCCCGTCTAACAGCCATGAGATTAAGAGTGTGATCGGAGAGTTTTTGTGTTCTTCTGCGGCGGGTCTTGCAGAATTTAGCTCCGACCACATGGACAGTTTCCACGAGCTTATCATTTATATCATCCACTTCATTGCAGTCTTCCAGGCACTGAAAACGGTTTTGTAACTCGATCTGAAATGTTTCGGGACTTTGGACTAGAGCACGAGGGGGACGGAGCGTTGACTTCATTAGATGAAACCTCTCCAACTTAACGTTAAGGTTCATTGCGCCTCTAACCATTCGGTGATCGCTACCAGTTTTCACCCTCTCGATCACTGAGACATCACTGAACAGTTGTGATCTGGTCGTCATAATGAAGTCAATCTCATTGTTGAACCGTCGGGGCTCGACGAGATCCACTTCCTGTGGGGCCGCTTCTGGAAGAAAGAGTTCATCATAAAGTGTCCCTCTTTTTCCATGAAGTCGGCCAGCTGCTGGCCCCTTGGGTTCCGTTGCCCTATTCCGAATTTCCCTACTTTCAGCTCACCGTTCTCTCTTGTGCCTAGTTTGGCATTGAAGTCTCCCATTAACACCGTATAGTGGGTTTTGGAGGAATGCATGGCTCTAGAGATATCCTCATACATTTCCTCCACCTCCTGATCGGGGTGTGCCGAGGTTGGTGCGTAAACCTGTATGACCTTCAGCGAATACCGTTTGGTGATTCTGAGTATAAGGTACGCAACCCTCGTCGACACACCCCCAATCTTAACAACATTGTTAACGAGAGACTTGTGGACGATAAATCAGACACCTCCTTGGGACAGATGGTCGCCCTCCCGGTGATAGAGCAAGTTGCCGGATTCGAGGATTACCGTGTCCTTCCCTCTCTTCGGACCTCGGATAATCCTAGGATGTTCCAGCGCAACTTGTCTATCTCTTCTTCCAGCTCCAGGATCTTCTCTTCAGTCCTCAGGCTGCGTGCGTTAAAATTGTTCTACTGATATTAATTGTCCCGCTGGGTTTCTTGCTGGTTCTTCCCAGGACAGAGGATTTTTTCGAACCAGTGGTAAAGTAAAAAATTACTTTCAATAAGAATTACACATGTAATGTATATTGAATAAAAAATATTAAAAAAAAAATTAATGAAAAGGGATTAGACTGTTTTTCTTTTTTAATTTAAAATGCCTTGTGAGATTTAAGAGTCAGGTCACTTCGTCATTGTACTCTAGATGAAATGTTACGTGCCGTGGGCATGTTAGAAAAAGGTGCTATTCAATGCGTTGTTGCTGAGGCCCTACACACATACCAGCCGAAACGTGATATCAAGGTTGTTTTTTTTTTATAGAATTAGGGTGACAGACGAGCACACAGTCCACCTGATGGTAAGTAGTTGCTGTGGCCCATAGACATCTACATCTATCCTCGATTACGAATCAAAATTCAGATGCGTTGTCACCCGTGAGGACTAAAACATGCCTCTTTTCCAGTAAAAAGGGTCTCCGGTTCTCTACACTCACCATACGAAACACAGCAGCATTAAGCTGCTATTTTACGCTGGTATGCTGTGAGGTTGTGATCACAATATCGCAGTACTGGGGATGTGGCTGAACGGCACACGGGTAGATATCGTGTTAATACGCAGAGACAGGATCGATTTCTCCAAATAACCGCCAGAAGACAACCCAATATCACAGCGATGCAACTACTACAAAGGCTCCAGGTGGGCCACCAGCTGCTGGTAAACGACCACACCGTGCAAAGGAGGTTGTGTGAAGTTGGTCTTCATGCTCGAAGACTGCTTCGTGTCCAGCATTGCGACGTTGCAATTGCGGTCGGCGGCTTTCGTGGGCCCAGGAGCATTTACCATTGAATGACAAACAACGGTCTTTGGTGCTGTTCACCGTTGAGTCCCGGTTTGCGTTTCATCCGAATTCACGAAGAACACGCGTTTGGAGAACTCCAGGTAGAGTTAGCTGTCTACGGTACCATTAGGCTGTCCACTAATCCCAAGGCGGGACAATCATGGTGTGTGTAGGAATTCGTCTTGGCGGACGAACCCAGCTCGTTTGGATCCAATACACAAAAATACCACGACGAGGTAGTAGAGCTTATTATTGTCCTACACAGAATCCAAATGGGCCAGGGATTTCTACTCATGCCCGATAATGCTCCTTCCCATACGGCGTTACTGATGTCGGTCGCTCTCCGAGACCACGATATTCAAGTTTTGGATTGGCCTGCTCAGTCGCCTGACTTAAATCTTATCGAGCATGCCTGGGACAGGTTACAACAAAAAGCTTTGAGAGCTTTCTCGCCAAAGAACAATGTCAGATTTTCATACATAAATTAAGTTGAGAAGAAATGGTAGCGTCTATATATCAAACTTA